CCTCCGACCTGGGACACCTGCATCATCAAGGGCACTGAACCTCCGACCTGGGACACCTGCATCATCAAGGGCACTGAACCTCCGACCTGGGACACCTGCATCATTAAGGGCACTGACCCTTCGATCTGGGACACCTGCATCATCAAGGGCACTGACCCTCCGACCTGGGACACCTGCATCATCAAGGGCACTGAGTCTCCGACCTGGCCTCGTGTTTCTGAAAGTGTTCTACTCCTCAATCCATGACTAATGTGATTTCCTGTGGATCCCAAGAGGTCTCCACACTCAAGCCAAAGCACTGCTGATCCCTCCTCTGATGTAGCCACAATGCTGCAACGGACCACTTGCCACCAATTACACAACCAACACGGCTTCGCAGTTTTGCAGCTGGAGTGTTAATTTCCATTTGGGGAAATTTCCCTGGGGCAGGGTAGAAGTCCAGCTGGATAATCGCTTCACAGCCTTCCGTGCTCCAAAGAATCTGCTGTCACACCTTCCATAAACCTGAGCCCTCAGGAAGCACCCGCCTGAGATCTTGGCTGCTCTACATGACCAGAGGACAGGCCTCACCATCAGATCCAGTCTGACACCCCTCTACCGGTCATCTGCCAACGTGGGTCAGACGTGCTGCAAGACCCAAGGATTGCAGCACAACCTAAAGAACACCTGACACCACCAGTCGCTCTATCATCAGTTCATAACAGAAAACGTCCTTGTTATGCTTTTTTTTCTTATGAAAACAAGCATAATTCTAATCTGATTACATGAAAAGGAAAACCGACAGTCTAAGGCATTTGTTTCACTATAATTGCACCCTGGGGAATAAACCAAATTTCAAAGGAGGTTGTCAAACGTATGGAAATGGCTTTGCTGAGAAGAGGCATCTGTGTTAAGTGTTACATATGGGGACATTCCCTGTTGCAGCTGCTACATTTAATCACCTGCAGCAAAACAATGGAGAATATGACTTTTTTCTATTTTATTTTATTCCAGAGCACTCCACGTAGCCTACCACGTTCGGTGAGATGTCAACTGAAGAAAACAAGATTAATGATTAGTTTTAAAATAATGGAATAACCAGCCTGCGTGCTCGGTGTGCCATGCTCCATCGTGTCTGAAACGTGCAATTTCAAAACAGCATTTTAAAAAAATGGTCTGACCGGGTGGTCTGACAATCTGGCCTAGATGTGCATATAAATGCACCGTTACTTTCAGGTAACCTCCTTCACTGACTTAAAGAGCTTTTCAAATGCGTG